GACTAGAAGGGCAGTGAGAGGTAGGGCTGCTAGCTACCTACAGAGGAGATGGGGATCGACGAGAAGATCAAGTCTGAGGTTCCCTGCCTCAGACTCCCTACTATTTATACAAATACAACGGTGCACAGACCAGGTACCTATTTGTCCCTGCTTGGTCAGAGTCTGCTGACTCATGTCCTGCCTCCTGACCTGTCACATGGTGTCCTCGTGACTAATACCTGAGTCATGCTAAGTCCGGGCTTGCTCCGATGAGTAAGCGCCCCCGCTGACGTGTGAGTCACCTGCCAGTGAGTGAGGATGGGCGCTCCTGGACCCCACAAGGTCCTGGGTTCGATCCCGGCTCCTCCACTTTCCGATACGAGTTGCCCGTGGTCAAGGTGAGCGTCTGTCCTGGTTCACATGACCCCTAGGTCACGTGGCACGAGAAAACTGTGACAGTACTCCTGCACGGTACTCTGAATCTTACAACAGTACTGTCGGCTCCTCTCTCGCCATGGATCCCGTCCACGCACAACAGCCACAAGTCTGATGCAAATCTTTGCTTCTTGTCTCTCATTAGCTGACTTTGTACTTTTTGTTCTAAATCAATGCCATGATCCTGCCTACCCCGTCCTTCATGACCTCCTCCAAAATGCCGCCAGCATTGTGGCTGCATTATGATACTACCACTCAGCAACCTCTGATTTGATCTGCAACTGGGCACACAACATTATGTGTGCCTGTCACTCTCAAGCCGTACAAGCCGTGGCCAAGGCAAAACATAATGGGTGGCACACAATATCTCTAGTACTGCGCTTGAGCAGAGCTCTCAATACATCACATTGCCAGAGACATGGTCTGCGACCAAGCTTCTCCAAAGCACACGCCCTGATCTCCGAGACGTCAGGAATCTGTGATGACATTATTGGGAGGGCAGATAGGCCCGAGGACAAGAGGTGTTCTGGGAGAGAGGAATTCATGAGAAAGTATGATGCCCTCGGGGGAGTGCCTACCAAACGGGGATGGTCTCGAGCGCTTTCTCTCCGGGCTCCGTTTATTTACCTGTGTTTGATGCCAGCCGCTGTGGAGAGTTGAGGGGGATACAATGTACACGTGATCTGGTGCTTATATTACAGGATTCTGTACTCTATCGGATATCAGCTTGTCCCCCGCCTCTAGGATATCGCCCCCTCAACTCGAGACAGTGGTGGGTAGGAGCCTGGACTCTACCCCGCCTAGCGAGCTTACCATCGATTACGTCATCACCCGCTTACTTAACGAAGAGTCGCGCCAATTGTCCCTCAACCCGCCTCATCATGACTCCGAAGTCGCCCTCGCTGCTTACACGAAGCCCCGCACCCCGCTCGAGCGCATCACCTGCTTCAAGTGCTCAAAGAAGGGCCACTATCAGCGCGACTGCCCCGAGCTTAAGACTGAAGAGGCCCATTACGCGTTTTCGGCAACCGTTAGCGCCGATCAGCTTCTTGCCGAGAAGGAGATAGAAGCGTGGTAAATGCCCGATTAAGGGGATGCATTAGACTTATTGTATGTTATCCCTTATTTGTGCGGACACAACCCCTCCTTCCTTGCTCGCTGTTTCCATTATCCCCGTCCCGCTCGATTTGTTTGTTATCCTTCGCTTGTTGCCCGCGCTCGCTCGAGGGGATGTGTTGGAATCCTGGCGTCAAGATGGCGAGCTCGCGGAACGAGCGCCACAGGTCCCGCCCCCCCGCGCCCTTATCTACCCCTATTTAGCTATGTATATAAGCCTTATTGTATCTACTGTGTACGGCACGCGTTTGCACCGGCCAAACGCGAATCCCATTTGTGCCCGCTTGCCCTCGAACTTCTACATGATGTTTCGAAACTGTCGAGAACGGGAAGCCCTTCGAACATCGTGACCAATGGTTAGAAATGACGAGCATGCACGACGTCCCTATCACGGTTGCAATCTGTTAGCCAAGAAGATGTGGTGACACACGGATTGCGACGTACGTTTACGCAATTGAATCAGTCCAGGTATAGCTGCCGCCCGGACCCGAATCAGGCTCAACACAACACGGAGGGAGAGGCATCTGCGGCATCTCCACGATGCGCTGGATACTGACTGTCCGGAAGTATGCCTCGAGCTCGCCTACCACGGTCTCCGCGTCTTCAATCTCGAATCGCGGCGACAACTGCACGATGAGATGCTCGAGGTACCGATACGCCCCCGACGCAAGCTGCTCGAGCATGCGCCAAAATCCCAGCTTGATGTTCTCCCGGCTGAACGGGCACACGGACGGCGGACACGCATCGTAGTACACCAGGCGGAGCGTCTTGTGGTGGACGGTAAAGAAGTCGGCGTGGGCGGTGTCCGGTAGGACGGAGACGTCGGGCCAATACGCGTTCCCAGGTCCGTTGCTGGGATGGTCGATTGTGACGAGAACAACAGTCTCCAAGGCGGGCAGCTGGCGGAGAGTGGCAACGGCGCTCGAGTTGAATGGTGCTACGAGCGCAGTGAACGGTGCAGCGACGTTCACCAGCCATGCCTCGCGTACACTCGACAAATCCACACCTGCGTCCCAGAGTAGGCTATTTAACCAGACGTCGGGCAGGCCGTAGTGCGATTTGTAGAGCAGGTTGACGTTGGACCTTACTCGAACGGCATTCCGAGCGGTTGCGACGGTGACAGAGATCTTGAAACCCCCACTGCTCGTCGTGCTGTCCGGGAACACTGCAACTTGTAGGTGCGTAGGTCGTCCTTGTATTCTGTCTCTCAGCAAGTGCTCATAATTGAAGCCAGACACCGGTAATGTGTCGTGAATTACTTGGAGCGCCCTGGGATGGTGATGAGGAGGGAAGAGCGAGAGGTAGAACCTCAAGGAGACCCCGCTCATGTCGTGCAAGATGACTCGGCTCACGCGTGCAGACTCGGGGAGCGGTGTGGGCACCCCAGGAGAGTTGACATGCGGGGATACGTTTGACAGTACGACGTTTCTCAGGTTGGGACAGATATGCATGAGTAGGTGGATTTGGGTATGAATAGAATCAGACGTGCTCTGAACAATCACGAGGTGAGTGAGAGGCGGGAACGATTGCCGAAGAGTCGGATCCAGCAGGAGAATGGGGACGCCTTGCAAGCAGAGGTGTTCGAGCGCAGGGTACTGGGTGGGGCCTAGAATGAAGAAAGGCTCGCACCGCCTGTCGTCGTTGTGATATTCCAAGGATAACGCTTTGAGTTGTGGACGAAGGATAGGAGACGCCATCAGCCCCTCGAATGCGTAGACGAGGGCGAGATGGTTTCGCAACAGATGGACTCCTTCAAGTCGAGAGATCGAGCTTGCGTTCGACGGACCGGATATGCTGCTGTTCAAGTCCAGATTATAGTCCAGCATCATGGGGGTCATCTCACTTCTTTGGAGACATAGCTGGAGAGCTGGAAGAGTCATATGGTACGAGGACCCGGTAGCCCCAAGCGTCTACGAGGTGATGTGGGCCCACCAAGACGGCCGTGAACAAGCGACGTCACGGAGACGGCGACATGTCTGGGAGATAGGGATCAACGCAGCACTATTCTTCAACGATGGCTTCCAAAGCAACTTGAACACACGTGGAAGGGCGTCCGACCTCGTGAACAAGAGTTCCTCGAAAATGCGAGCAAGGAGTTCAGCAGGGAGAGCTACAAGGGGTTGCCTTGCATTGACTTCGCTACTGATTAACTTCAGAGTACCGTGTAGATCGTCACGTATAGTCCTGAGCTGCAGCAACCGTGAGAACATCTCAGAAGGATCCGACGGCAGAATATCAAGATGATAGGAACACGCACGCCGTGTTTGCTGCGCAGAAACCATGCACTCAGCGAATTTGCCTATTAGCACAAGTATGCACACGTACTCCAGTTTGTTCGTCTCGCCGTGGAGGGAATCGAGATATCTCTTATAGCATTCCTGGACTCTAGACAGACTAGCTGCTGCCATATGCTGTCAATCGTTGCGATAGTCGTAGAGCTACGTCGCCGACCTGAGGTGGTGAGTGTGATGAGCAACGAACTGCAGACGAGCGGAACGTACGCAGCAGAAAGCAAGGAAGTGGTCGAGGACAAGCTGCGGACACGCTAGCGCGTTCGCCTCCCCAAATTATATGCAAGGATGCCTTAGCCTTAGCTCGGACGCAGCTGCGGTACTGACTCATTTTCTGTTGAGACGCCGTTTCACAGTGACAGATGACTCACACCTCATGCAAGAAGTTGAGCTATCCTGCTTATAAGGCGGTTTCGCATTGCAGCCATGCAAACTCTCAGAATCAGGATTCTATGTAGACAAGTAGAGAGGAAGAATTCCGTGCGTTTGTCGCACTCAGTAGGAGGGGTGCATCGGGATGATACGATATTCTTACAGTATTGAGTACAAAACACATGGAAATCCAGAAGAGGGGAAGTCGGGGTTCAAGGCATCACGCAGCTCGCGATCGGCGGCCGCACTCGAGGAGGTCAACATCAATATTCCACTCCGACCCACTAGGAGCGCTTACTGGCCTTACACGAGGAAAAGGTGTTTGCTCATGTTTGCGGAACCATCAAGGGAGACTATCTAAGCGCCAAGGACATTGTTGAGCAATAGAGACATTACATGCTACGCATTTTGTCTATGGAGCGTTCTTAATGCCTCCTGTGGTCTGTCCAGTTTAATCGAGCAGTAGTGTTTGCCTTATATCGTTCAGAACAGGCTCTAGGACGTCTGCCCGCAGCCGGTACCCACCGGCGGCCAGATACAAACAAACCGGCACAAGGCGTGCGTCGGAAAAGGTAATTTGAAGGACCGCATCGTTGTTGTATACACGGCAGGGAATCGGATGTTTTCGACTGGAGAAAAGTCGATGAAATGGGGACGCAAAAGGCAATAGCCTGTCGTTTTTCAATGACTTTTATCCAGAAACGCCACATATTCACGGATTGTTTGCCTCGCGCGTCCCCTTTTCGAAGACTTTTCTCCAGCTGGAAATATCTGATTCCCTGCCGTGATAGTAACTTTGATCCTGCTTTCACCTCAGGCTGACGTAGAGTTCATCGCAGGATCAAATCTCACAAGGGAAAATGTACTCCAAGCTACTTATGGGAATGTCTATCCGGGGTGCTCCCATACTGGTTCCAGCTCTTGTAACGTTGCTCAGCGGGAAGACTGGGAAGCTGTCGCTCTGACACGGTCATAAGATCCTGACGCCATGCACGCGGTACTATGACGGTGCATCTGTACAAAAAATAGGCGAGCAAGGTCGCACGCCGTACATCCAAGTCCGTGATCGTGTTTGGTGCTGTTATTCGGGTGCAAGCGCGCAGTTTGTCATCGATTTGTGGTGCTAGGTCGTGGATTATCAATAGGTCCTCAAGTCTACAATCTGGTCTCTCATTCAACAACTTTAATGATTTTCTAGAAAGACTAGTCTGTTAACAGTATGCAGTCTACAGTAGACACCACACATGAAGACCAGGTCGAGAACTGCAGTACAGCTCGGCTACACTGAGGTTCGGCAAGATTACACTGAGGTTCGGCAAGATCAAACTGAGGTTCAGCGACACTGTACTGAGGTTTTATCGCAATGTACTCGTGTCTAGCAGGTGTAGGTCGTGCTTTGTGAACTGAGGATCGGCAAGCTGAGTTTGGGCCGGGAATCTGAACTGAGGTTTCGCTTGTGGGACAATAGCCGAGACAAAGAG